GCATAGGAACCTGGAACATAGTATCTATGAATCAAGATAGGCTAATGTGATCAAACATGAGATGGCAAGATTGAATATCAACATCTTGGGAATCAGTGAACTAAAGTGGAGAAGGGCAAATTTAATTCCAATGACCATTATATCTATTATCATGGGCAAGAAGCCCTTAGAAGAAATGAAATCGCCCTCACAGTTAACAAAAGAGTGGGAAAAGCAGTACTGGGGTACAATCTCAACAATGATAGAATGATCTCAGTTTGAATCGTAGGCAAAGCATTCGACATCACAGTAATCCGAGTCAATGCCCCAACCATTGATGCTGAAGAAATTAAAGTTGACTGGTTCTATGAAGAACTACAACACGTTCTAGAACTAACACTGAAAAGAGGTCCTTTTCTCCATATGGGCTTGGAATGCTAAAGTAGATAGTCAAAAAATGACCAAAACAATAGGTAGGTTTGTCTTTGGACTACAAAATAAAGCAGGGCAAAGGCTAACAGCTTTGTCAAGAGAACACACTGGTCATAATAAACACTCTTTTCCAACAGCCCAAGATGTGACTATACAGATGGACGTTACCAGCTGATAGTACATAAAGACATTCAAATTGCACACCACTCATGAATGAAGAAGTGCTAATCTAATCCAAGAGCAAGACTGAAAACGTTTGACTCCAGAGCAGGCATGTCAAACTCGCGACGTATCGGAGCTTTTTCGCCATTGCTGGCAATGGGGTGGGCGCGGCTCCGGTATGATGAAACCAGCCCGCGGGACGGCATCTTGACACCCGTGCTCCAGAGGGACAATTTGAAAAGAACATAAAAAGTTCAAATTTTACTCTGTTAGTCTAACAATTATAATTCTAACAATTCCATTTTCCCTATGAGTAAACCACATAAAAGATATAAAGCAATCATCTGCTGTTGCTCCTCAGTAACAAATGCAGCCTCTTCAAATAGTGGTGGCTACATCTAAATGCCACATTACTATTAAATGTATATGCTACCTGCCTTATTAATAAGGCAACTATTAGAATATTAGTAGCTAGTGATGCACTTTTATTCAAACATTTATTTATGTAATCATCTCTTGAAGCACTACACCCTATAAATTAATTATGTGCTATCTGAAGATGCACCAATAATGTATAAACTGTCTTGAAGCTCTTGGTCATTAATTTCATTGGATCACTTTCTAGTATTAAAAGGCTATAAAACTTCATAAATTTTTTTCATAGGTTGTTGGTTTTATACATCTTCACTATAGAAATAGGTAAATTTTCTACCAAGGTTGCACACCTTTTGAAGTAATAACCCCAATAGCAGAATACAGTATAGAAAATCAAAGCCAAAATTTCTCATTTCTTCTCCCTTCTTTAACCAGTACAGGTAGTTCTCAACTACAACAGTTCACTTAGTGACTGTTTGGCACTGAAAAAAGGTGACTTATGACAGTTTTCACACAACCGTTGCAGCAACTCCATGGTCATGTGATCAAAATTCAGAAGCTTGGCAACTAACTCACATTAATGATGGTTGCAGTGCCCCAGGGTCATGTGATCAATCTCCTTTTGCATCTTTCTGACAAGCAAAGTAAATGGTGAAGCCAGATTCACTTAACGAACATATTACTAATTTAACAACTGCAGTAAATCACTGTGGCAAGAAAAATCATAAAATGGGGCAAAATTCAGTTAACTGTTTTGCTTAGTAACAGACATTTTGGGCTCAATTTTGTCGTAAGTCAAAACTACCTGTAGCTTCAACGGAGAGACAAGATTATTCTCACATGAGATTAAACTGTTGGTAGGAGCTTCATAAATTTGAATGGGTACAGAGATTTTGGCAAATGCTATAATATATAGCTCTGATGCTAGTACCCCACGTGCCTGCAAAAGGACAGAAGAGGAAGTTATCCTCTTCTCTGGCATCTTTACTTTGGCACATCTGATGTCACTAGTGATCAAATTAGCTATTAAATCACTAAGGAAGGAGAAAAATAATATATTTACCATCATCCTATACTTAAGATGATTATTTGCAGTATTAAATTTCAAGATACAGAAAAGATACTGGTGCTTCTATATTATGGTTATTTCATCTGTCCTTCCCTTTTGCATATAATTCTTTCTCTTATTTATGTCATTATATATCTGATATATGTTTTTTACTTGACTCTATTATATCTATGACTTTGCTTATTTTTATATTTTCTTTTACTTATTTTTAATTATACCATTTTCTATCTCTGTTCCATAACTGGAATTTAAATATTATGCAGCAGTTGAATCAGGCAGTCCTTGATTTACAAATGTTCATTTAATGACAGTTCAAAGTTATGATGGTCTTGATAAAAGTGATCTATAATCACCTACTGTCACACTACTCTGGCAGTCACAATCACTAGTGATCACAATTCAAACACTTGCCAAACACGTTTACAACCTGCTGCAGGATCCTGTAGTCATATGATCATGATTTGTGACCTTTTTTGCTGATTTAAGCATAAAATCCCCACCCATTCAGGAAACTGGATTCGCTTAACAACTGTTGTGATTTAATAACTATAAAAATTGTTGTAAAATCAACTCTGACTCAACTGATGACTGCAATGACCTATGATGGAAATTCCAGTCCCAACTGTGGTAGTTTGCTGAGGACTACCTGTACAGAATATTTGTGAAACCCTAACTTATAATTGAGTTTAAAAAGTGATACCCGTTAACCAGGTATAATTCCAGCCTGAAATTATTAAAACAAAACTTTTCCACAAGTATAATTATAAGTTTTAAAAGTGAACATTTACAGATGTTTCAGTTTTAGAAATTTGCGACTGGGTGGAAAGCAAAAGGAAGATTGCCAGGATCATTTCTACAGGACCTATCTACTGTACAGATATGTCGTTCTGCCAAGTTTACACTGCTAAAATTGCCTGCCCAGGTTCTACAGGATGTTCGCAATTATTTTATAGTTATTGTTACAAGGCAAAATTTTGTATTTTAATATTGATAGTTTTGGGATACTTTTTGTGAATCATAATTAATTCATTAAAATCTGAGGAAATAGCTTTTTGAATTTCCTATTTTAGTAGGTGTATTTAAACTGAACATGATATACAGACATTGATATACACAAAATATTGCTTGATGACCCAAAAGAATTTTTATCCTATGAGTAATGTTGCAAAACTATGACATCAACAGTGGCATGAGATATCTGCACAGGAAACAAAGAGCTGGAAAGTGCTGAAAAGCTTTTAGTTTCCCTAGATTTTAACTTCACATTGTTGGTATAAATTGAATTCTAACTGTGTGCAATTTAAATCTTGAATACAGGAAATAATTATAGCAAGAGAGCAGTTTCCTAAATGATTTAAATCATATTATCACTCAACTTTATGAAGAGAATCCTTCATAAAGATGTGTATTTTTTAAAAAAAATTGTAGATCAGCCAGTCTACATATGGATGGCATACAAATTTAATAAAAAAAAAATTGAGTTCTAAACAACCAAAGCATTTGCGTTCCTAAGCTTAATACTTGCTACATAAAATTTTTAGGATCTAGCATAATATTTAAGCAAATGTCTTCTTTTACCTGTACATCTAGTTATTATTCTACAAGAATAAGTAATAGGGTTATTTACTAATTTTGATTTATCACTTTATTTTTATTCCTCTCAATGTGGCTCAAAAATCGCAGGTAAGGGGAAATTTGTCAAACCATAAAAATCGGAGTATAGTCTGCAGCATGATTTCTAAACTAACCCATTTCGAACACTATATAATATTTCCAAACTGAAATATTATACAGCTATTTGGATTCTAACATTTTTTTCTGGAAGGCATTTTACAAAGATATGTGTAAAAACATGCCCTATAAAATCTTTGTGGAGCTGTATCTTTAGTGACCAGTGCTGAAGATAAAAAAGACTCAAGTTTTAAAGAATAAACTTTGCAATTCTACAGCCCTGTACTTGTCAATTATAAGGCCAAAGTTCAATACAGGTTGGTCTGAAATGAGTGAGGTTTATCTACTTCTAGTAATTCCTCCATTCTTCATTTAAAAAAGCTACGAATGAGTCCTAAATTGGGCTGCAACTGGTACCCTTAAATGTTCCTCCCTTTTTGTACTTTGGCAAAGATAATGAAGCCTTATCGACTTGAAGCAAAATAAGGCCACATTCTGATCAGGAAGAGATTGTTAGAAAAGCCTTTGTTTCCTTCATCTAGTTTCGGAAGCCTTTCCAACACTAGCAAAAATACATCAGAGCAGCTTATTTTGGAACAATTTTGGCAGCACCTGCCCCATAATATACAGATTTATGGAGTAGAAATCATGCGGGTAGTTAAAACTTATGAATTAAATAATAATAAAGAAGTGTAATTATTTAAGTGTAAGTGCCTCTCTTAAATGTGTTTTTTTCCTTACATTTTTCGGTTCAATTCTTCGCCTGGTTCACTCTAGAGAGCGAAGGACTTTGCTACTGGGCGTAGGGAAGGGTAGTAGTTACGCGAGCCCAGCGCTCACAACAATACCTCCGGTGAATCATCACAGAGTGAAATCCTGATACCTCCTGCTCGCCCCACCCCCCAGAGGGTGAGATTTCACCAAAAGAAAGAGGCCGACATACTGGTGTTTTTTAAAACGAACCTAGGGGAAGAGAACCGCCAAGAGGTTAAAAAAAAAAAACCCTCAGTAGTAAGCAAAAAAGCCGCGTTTCTTTTCTCTCCCTCTCTTCCTTCTTCGGAGCCCTTTCACAACTGAGGGATTCCTCCCGAGAAACCCCAACAATACAGGAGCTATAGAGTCACTTCGCAAAGCGATCCATCCAAGCTCCAGTCCTTTAACTCGGAGCCTTTGTTTTTCCATCTCCTGGGGAGACTTCGGCAAAAGAAACGCTGGGCGACCGGGTGGCGGGAGAAAGGGGGCAAAGGCAGTTGGGGTGGGCAAAATGGGAGAGGGAGCTCTTCTGCTCTTCCTCGCTGACTTCCAGCCTTACCTGCACAGAGAAACGTTACAGCCCACAAGAGCGGCAGCAGCGATGCCATGGCGGGGAGAGAGAGAGAGAGAGAGAAGAGTCGCCGGCGGCCAGAGGAAAAGGAGCGACTCTCGAGCGAATTCCCAACGGACACTCGTTGCCTCGCGCCGCCCTCCTCTGGTCCCCTCGCAGCCCAGCAGGTGAAACGGCCGTCACTTCCGCCCGGCCACAGCCCTGGTGCGTCCTCCGCTGGAGTTGCCGAGCTAAGGGCAGCCGAAATCCCAGAGAAAGGCGCTGACCTCTCCTCTCCACTTACTCAGTTGCTCACTCACCCTGGGCAGAAACTCCCAGCAATACAGGCTCCGGGAAATTGCAAAACAGGCAAAAAGCGCCCGCGCTTGCCCTATACTTCCCATAACGCTGGTTTCTCTCTCCGGCACACGCACAATTCCATAAATAATAGCTACGAGTGCAGAAAGCTTAGGAAAGTGTGTGGGGATTTAGCCACTTCTTCCTAGACCCTTTTTAACTCAGCACGCAATCATGGAAAGGAAGAAATTTGTGTACATGAATGAGAGTCCATAGCTGGCGTTTTACAGAAAAATACATACCATAATCATCTTTGCCATATAGCCCACTGCTAATACTAACTGTTCAGATGTTTAACCCCTTTCTCCTCTAACAGGTGAAATCTATGAAAGTAATTACTCTTGGGTCTACGACTAACCTGTGCACAAAGTACATGCACTTATCACACAAATCGCTGGAAAGACAAACTCCTATCACAAAATACAGGCCATTGTGATAAAAGCGCTCTGTGGGAAAGAAAGAATGTACAGGATACCTAGAAGTATATCAGCATGAATAAAACAGCAAAATTGCATGAAATTGACACTATATAGAATTTGTAATGAAAACTCCAAGAACTATGATGATTTGCATGCAGCAGATTTTGGAATAACTTAAAACATAGTCAAAGAGATTTTTTATCTATTTCCTGCCTGGGTCTTTTAAAAATCCCGTTGAGTAGGTCTGCTAGATGATTTGGCCAAAACAGCTATTAAAAGTAAGTGATGTATACGTTTATCTAGCTTCAACTTCAGAAATATTTATTTAGAGGGGGGGAAACGATTCATTTATTTGCAAAGCTTATAGGCTGATCTAATTTCCTCTTCAACTGGCATATCTTTTCCTGTATTTAGAAACCACAATATTCGAAAGAAATATTGAACTTGACTATTTAAATAAGGTTAATACAGTCAAATATGCAGATAACTGGTTAAATATATTAGAAGGAGCATTTTTAGAAAAATGCACATTGTTACTATTATGTTCCTTAAGTACTTCCAGGAACTGAGACCGTTTCTCTTAAGTCCTGTCCCTGCAGGGATCAGTGTCACCTAAGAAGATGATTAGTAATTTCTTGTGTATGATGATGGCAACCAAGATGTCTCTTATTCTGCTGAAATGAATATGTTAATGTACTGTACAATCTTATGAAATCATTGGTTTCTGTAAATAAACCTACATCTTTTCCCTTTGTAATCTGAGTAACTCTTTTCAGGATAAAATTACAGGGGAAGCAGAAAATGCATGTCATTTTTCCTCCTGAAAATACAATTGAAATTTCTGTTTACCATTTATAAAGGAATTTACTGTGTTTAACAGTTTGTTTACTTTTACTTCTAAAATAAACAAAACAGATACTTAAGGATTTCCTTATATATTTAGATTTTATTTATACATTTAGCACTGATTTCAGAGATCGGTTCTTCAAAACCAAAGCTTTGTAAATTACAGAAAATATTTAATTTTGCCAAATTAGACATAGGATTACTCCAAATTACTAAACATGTCAGGCTTCAGATTTACTTAACTAGCTAACCAGTTGGCTAATTCAGATCACATTAATAGCTTTCATAAGTAACAAATGTATAAAGGTGTGTAAGTTTTAATTAGGTAGAAGTATTCACTTAGAAACCAGGAGTTCTACTCCTGCCTTAAGCATGAAAGCCAGTTAGATGATTTTGGGCCAGTTATTATCTCTCAGACCAATTCACCTCACAGGATTGTTGTTGTAGGGAAAACAGAACTAAGAAGGAATAGAGGTAGTCCTTCATTTATGACTGTTTATTTAATGATGGTTCAAAGTTAATGATGGTGTCAGAAAAAGTATCTTACAACCCATCCGCTAAGTTACAATTGTTGCCCCATTAACAAAATTCACTTAATGATTGCAATGATTTGCTTAACAACCACAATAAAAATGATTGGAAATCATTATTAACCACATCACTTAGCAACTAAAATTCTGGTCCCAGTTGTGGTCATAAGTTGATTTGTGTACATTCACTGCCTTGAATTAGTTATAAAATAATAAGGACCAGATAAAAGTCTAATAAATAATGTTTTACCTCTCCTCCATAGCTCAAGACAGCATGCATAACACTGTTCCAATTTGCTCCACAACCTAGTTCAACTGAATTAAAACAATTCTGTGTGTTTCCATGATTAAGGATGGACTTAACTTTGTATTTCTGTGATTGTAATATGTTAAACACTCTTATGATCCTCACATTCTAATACACCTGCTAATCTTTATATTATGATTAGTATTATTATTTTGCTGTAGTGGACTAAAATGGCTGTTCTCCATGCTAAAGAGATACATGTCATAGCAGAAGAAAATGATTAGGAAGAGGAGGATAATGACAGGAACTACACATATAAGTGGTACTTATTACTTCGAAGTATACAAATATCTTGCTAAATTAGGCAGATGAGTCCTGCAGGAATAAATTGATTTTTTAAAAATAAGAGAATAATTAGATGATAAGACTCGGACTTTGAATTGGAAATTATTTTAATTCCCAATGAAATAGAGAAATCAATATTTTTATATGTGTTTGTACTAACTAAACATGTGTTTGTGTGTATTTATGTATATTCTATCAGGTGGTTGCTTATCCACACACTGATGTTGTTGGAACCTCTGAGCTGATTGGGTCATTCAAGTGGCTTTTGACTACCTCAATAAACTCTCAATAAACTCTCTGGCGGCTTGAGAATAAATCATCTATCAGAGTCATTGAAACTATCACTGGAACTGCTGTTGTAGAGTTCCTGACTTGCAGAGTTGATGGATAGGAAAAGTGATGACAGCATCTATAGTTGACATTGTTGGAGGATGGCTGAGAGGAGTTGAGGCAATGAGGGCTGGAACTAGAACACTACCTGGAACAGCAATCAGAACATTTACAATATTGGCAGAAAAGGAAGTGGGACATTGTGGTTACCATCACCTGTGAGGCTGAGGCTGTAGCATTGAAGAAGACAATAGAGATACCAAGACAGATTGGTAGCTAGCAGAAAAACAACAATTACTGCTATTGAGGCCTGTTAACTGGACTTGGAATGGTAGCAATGGTGGAAAGGTGCCATTTATGGTGCTGATAGTTTAAAGAACTAGTAAACCTGGGACCAGTTCTATAATTTGGAATCCTCTGAGTTAAATTTAGATTCTGAGAATGAGAAACTCACTTAGATCAGTACTAATAGCGGTGGGAAAGAACACCAGGGACATAATTAGGCTGGTGAAGTGTGGGGATATTGGGACCTGATTCTATTCTGTACCTGTGCTAGTCACAGAGTTCCATGGAAGGTGATCTAACAGATGTGACATACTCTGAATGAACATACTGATGCAAAATTTCAGAGGATGCATATGTCTAGGTGCTGGCTGAGAAGGATTTCCTGTGAAACCAGCAATTCATTATAGGAACTTACATGAAAGTGTGATTAATATTATGATTTAGCACATTCCACTGAAATGCTAAGAGAGACTAATGAGATGATAATAAATGCAATATAAAAAAGACTTTTTAAGAAAAGTCTCTTAGTACCTGCTGAGAAGCAACAATCCTAAATTACAGGATTGTAGATAAAACTGATTATAATGCTAATAAAAGTTATTAAATATAAGACATGGGTTAAATTTACAAATAACAAGAAAATATGTTGAAATGGATTAATTTATATATTTTTATATATAAATTGTGATTTATATATTTTTAAAAATTACAGTCAAGTAATAACAGTAAAAAGTACAGCCACTTAAAATCTATTTTTCAAACCTAGGTCTATTTTTTCCACCAAAAGAATGCTAAATCCATAAACTTTCATAATATGCCTGTGTAGAAGCCAGATATCTCTGAGCCATTTCTTAGAGCTCAAACTTCAGTGGTTATAGTACAGTGGTTCTCAACCTGTGGGTCGGGACCCCATTTGGGGTCAAACGACCATTTCACGGGGGTTGCCAAACAAAGTAGTCCGCCATTTTTCCCCCTTTTCCTTAGCTGTGCTACTCCCTTTTATTCTATTGGCTTTTGAAAGCCAATAGAATAGAATCTCTTTTTTTCTTTTTTATTGAAAATTTTTATTTTTTAACATGACCCTCTTGAATAGAGTCTAATTCTATTGGCTTTCAAAAGCCAATAGGAATTGTCCAGGCTGTCTCTGCCCTGCTGACCCCACCAAAAGTCCCATTCTGCAAACGGTGCTGCACCAGTTGAGTAGTCCTCGACTTACGACCGGTTGAGTAGTCCTCGACTTACTACCGGTTGGGGGTCGCGGCATTAAAAAGGTTGAGAACCACTGTTATAGTAACAGTGTACAACAAGAGACAGAAAGGCATTCAGGCACACAGAGACTAAAATTAATGATAAGGAGCAGAGAAATCTTAACTTCTAATTGTATCATGAATCATCCAGTCAAACATTGTCTCCACAGCAAATAATATTTAGGGACAAGAAGGAAAACACTACACTAAATCTGTAATGATTATCACATTAATTTGTCACGGGCACAAGATAAGAATAAAACGGTTGTCAAACTGGTCGCCTGTGGGCCAGATGCGTCACGACATGCCACGCCCACACCAGCTCCACAAAGGCAAAAAATATCACAATACATCACGATACGTCAAGTGACACGATCAAGTTTGACATCCGTGGAATAAAACAATATGACACTTAAAAAATCTTTGTGGTATATGTTTGTGCCAATAATGAGAATCCTATAGCTAATTTGCTTACTTTAATTAATTTATATGGGTGATATACAATATTAGTAAATTAAAATTAGCCAATAAAAATCATATAATAAAGCATATAATTTAGAACACATATAAATGCATATAGTGGTGGAAAAATACTATATAAGTTGTGCCATTCTCTCTATTAATACATTTCAAAGGGCAGGTAGATGAGATCTTGCTATGAGAGTGGGAACAGCAATAATGGGTAGCCCTCAATTTACAACCACAATTGAGCC